GCTGCTGGGGTTCTGACTAAAACCAGGAAGACAGAGTCACTGGCTCCGTGTAGCTCAGAGAATAGACTTTAAAATACTGTTAGTTTATAAATCACTGAACGGCTTAGCACCACAATACATTAAAGATCTGCTGCTGTTGTACCAACCTTCCAGACCACTCAGGTCTTCTGGTTCTGGTTCTGCTCTGCATCCACAGAACCAAACGAGGAAACGCAACATTCAGCTTCTATACACCGCAAACAGCTGAAACACTCACTTCCTTTAAATTGCGGCTAAAAATCCAGTTGTATTTGAAACATAATCAATTACGAATTTAACGATGGCATTTGACTCAATGTAATGTTTTGATTATTGATTCTATGTTGCATGACTGTGTTTTTGTTTATGATGTAAAGCACTTTGAAATGCTTTGTTGCTGAAATGTGCTATACAAATAAAATTTGATTGATTGATTGATCGAGCTCAACTGAAAAACAAGAAACATATTTATTTTTTAAAAGGCACCGTCTGTCATTGGTTGTCCATTATAGGGAACCTGCTGAATCCAAAGTAAAGTTCAGATGTTCAGGTTGGATTTTTCTGACTTTTACACACTTGCCAAACCCATAAACAGCAGAGAGATTACAATTAAGATAAAAAAGGATCTTAATGAATTTAGCTGTATCGTTTGATAAACAGGATCAGTTGGAATGTATGTGACTGAATTCAAATGGTTTTCTTGTAAAGTTCTTTGAGACAATATTTGTTGAATTGGTGCTGTATAAATATACTGAAATAAATTGATCTGACTGTATCAGTCAGGAGAAGAGCCCTAGAAAAAATCTGCAGCATTATATTTGCACAATGCATGGAGAAGGTAGTCACCAAAAACAGAGTGTGAGTGTGTGTAATGGTCTGATTACAGTAAGCTTTAACCTTTGGGAGATGATTTAAAAAAAAAAAAAAAAGTAAATCTTTGGCAGAAAAATATTACTGTGCCTACAATGAAACACGGTGGTGACACCATCACGATCTGGGGTTACGTCTGTTAAGGTGAACCTCATATTTTTTTGACAAAGTGAATGAAATTATGAATCATTACAAAAACAAAAAAAATGAATGAAAACATTCTGTCTGTTAGAAGTGTGAGTAAATCCAAACACAGAAGAAAATAAAAGATCCATAAGTTTATTCTGAGTTGTAAATTAAAGTTATGAATATAACTTATGACTATAAAGTTAAATAGACAAGAGGATTATTAGCCATAATCCTCTTTCGCAGAACAGTATCTTGAGGGACCCTTTGGTCATGTAAAAACAAAACAAAGTGAAAACCCCACTTAAATCCGACATGTTCCTCCAGAACATCAGTTCTCCTCTCACACAACTCACATCTCAGATACTGAAGCTGGTTGATCCTTGTGAGAGTCGGCATTAATGTCAGAATTCTGTCTTTAAAGTCTGAATTATTATTTTTCCTTCAAGTGGGTCAAATCCTTTTCCTTATCCAAAAAAACAAAAGTTTTAGAGCGACCTAGCCAAAGTCCAGAGCTAAACTCAACAACCTGTGAAGTGGGCCGTAGAAAAACGTCAGACTAAAATCTGGTAGATCTTCCAGAACTTTTCCAGGTCAAGATGTGGGATGCTGATGAACTCACACTGACAAAGACTGAACGGTGAAATTCAATCAAAAGTTACCTTAACACCTATTTAGTTTAAGATGTGAACATCTAGAGATTTATTGCTTTTATACAGGATTATTATGACATTGTGTTTAAGTTGGGCATTTATTGTATTGTTTATCGTGATAAATTCCTTCCCATGATAAAGGTTTTGATTCATTCTTGTCATGATAAATTTCAGTAAATGATGTTTAGAAAAACCATAAACTGTTTTGTCTGGATCATTGTCTGGATTTCTATTTTCACCATATTTCTTCCCATTTTATTCAATGAGTATCTATAATCATCAATACATTTGAAAATATTATTAAATGAAGATACTGCGTGCCATTTAGTGATTTTAAAAATCACACTTCTTTATGTGACTGGTGTCCTGATGAAGAGTTTAACAAATGCAAATGTTTTTCAAGAGCAGTATTTGTATTTGTGTTACTATAATTGTGTCATGTAGTCACAGTTATACAGTTACCTAAAAAAGTGATATTGATCACTTTTATCAAGTACCACAAAACATTGTAATAAAACTTTAAATCCATATTGCTCACCCCACTGTATGTTGAAATAGTTCAGAAATGATTTTATTGAGAGCCACTGTAAACCCAGTTGTATAAAAACTTGAAAGCTGATGTTGCAGTCTGAGCTTCCAGTCTCTAGATCTACAAAGCTGGAAAATCAATCGCACAAAAAACTTGGAGCTCGAATCGCACTGAACTATTTCTACAAGGATTTTTATTGAAAACCATGAATTATTTTGCATGTATCTGTATTTTCGCAAGGTTGAATAACTGTAGCAGATGGCTTGGATAGAAATGCACACTTCCTTCACAACATGTGAAGGAAATGATGGAAACCTTGTGAATTCAACATTTGGCTAATAAAACACAAAAACCTAGCCACCTTTTGAAAAATCTGCAAGATAAAAACACTTAAATAGCTGCAGCATGGCTCTAAAAAAACAATTTCCAAAGTTCCACATGAAAAAGAACTTGTCAACATACCTGTAAGGAACAAACAATAACTTGGAGCTCGAAAGGCCAGAGAAGAGAGGAACACGCACGCGCAAAATAAAAATAAAAATATATTGATCTCCTTGGGAGTACTGCATGTGAACTGGAAAGCAATCACAAAGGAAAATCATGCTTCAAATCGTCAAGAAAAAGAAGCGGGGAGGGACAAACGGATTGACTGACAACAGGACACAAAGAGGCTGGTGGAAAGTGGACTGTTTCGATAATGTTGTGGCTGTTTGAAGGCAACAAAAGCTAGAGAAAAACCCACCTAAAAGCCCCGCTGCTTCCCTCTCTTATCCCGGCTGGTGGTCCGGGTTCCACAAAAGTTCTTCCTGAGAACGCACAGGGGGTGGGATGGTGAAACACTGACTAGAGTGTGCCCCGAAAGCCAAAAAAAAGGAGAAAAAAAAAGGTTAAAATAAACGTGTCAATTCCTTATATAGTAGAGGTCGCTTTCAATACAACACAGTACAGGGCGTCGGCGAATTGTTCCCAAGAGCCCCTGCTGGAGGAGACACCGAGGGGGGGCAGAGCAGGGGGCCCAGCTGGCGCGAGCCGATAGATTGGCAGAACTCAGAAAGGTCAGCGTACGGCAAGCGAGCGGGCACAAAAGCTGGGGGATAAAAATCCTCCAGTGGGGGAGGAGTTCTCAACATGGAAACCTCTGATTTTTTCTGAGACTGGAGAGAGAAACCATAGGCTGAAATTCAACTTCGTGTTCGATCGAGAACCAGCGAGCAGTGACAAAAGCAATGAGAGAGAGAGAGGATGAACAAACAAAAAGTGAAAATTATTTCAACTTTCAAAGTGGAAAAAGTTCAAAAAGTTTGTAATCTCTTCACACTGAAAAAAAAGATGCTTGAACAACATCAGGTATGAAAAAATAGATTGGCATGGCTTAATGTAGGTTTTTCTAATGACTTCATTCTATCATTACTAAAAATATTTAATAACACCCACCTTAAGATATGCATTGTTCCTCACCTTTATTAACACTTTTCATTTCCTCAGTTAAGTGTGACTTCTGACACTCGAGGCTCAGCTGCATTCAACAGTACATTAAGTTAATGAAGAAGTTCAGCCATCCTGAAACATCTATGAAATCAGTCTGAGCCAGTATTCTTGGTTAGTTTCAGAACTATTTAAAAAGATTGCCTATATGCTATGAAAATAGTAAGAAAAATATAAATTTTTTAAGCATCTATTTTATCTGACATATTTAGGGTTGCATGATACATTGGCACCAACATCGGTATCGGCCGATACCGATAAATAAAGCTGGATTGATATTAGAAACTGATATCTGAAGTCAGTGGTGTCACTTTGGAGATCTCAAAAGGCTAAAAATGTCTAAATTAGCGGTTCTCAACGTGGGCGGTACCGTGTTCAGAGGACGGCAGGGGGCGCTGACGAACATTTTTACAAAAGGGGG